ATCATGCGAGGTCCTTTTGGAGCACCAGGTTAAACCGACCACACGACAGGGGCAAAAGGCCCCTGCTTACAAGCTCTAATTGGTTCCACAGGCTGCAGAGTAGAGAGGAAAGAAGGGAACAGGGAAGAGGAGGAGGGGGAGAGGAACAGCAGGGAGCGAGAGACAGATAAATGGTAGGAGAAGAAAGAGAAAGGGAGAGAGGAGGGTACAGGAAGGAGGGATCGGGCAGTGGGGGGTGGAGGGGGACATAGGAGACAGTGATAGAAAATGAGACCAGAGATGGAAAAGACAGGAAAGAGGAAGAGAAGAAAAGATGGAGTGAAATCGGAAGAGAAGAAGAAGAGTGGAGGGGTCTTGTTTCCATGACACAACCACTTGTCAGTGACTTTTACTGCAGTTTTGAGACTGGGTTTGTCAAAGAGAGCTGGTGGAATTAGACAGCAGCCCTAGGTATATGTTAGTTAGATAGATCGAGAGAACTGAGAGTCTATATATGCTAGGAGTTATATGAGGCTGTACTTAGACCTGTTGGTGGTTTTAACTAAATCACAGCATTTCCCAAATAATTAATTCTGGTCCACTAAGGTCACTCTCACGAGCTACAGAGTCTGAGTGACAGGTACACAGACTAAAGAGTGAAATTTAAGTTCTTGCGTGAGAGAAAGAACTGAATTGCCTGCCACAACTGCAGCTGAAAGTATGAGGCGTGACTGTCTGCATGGATGGTAAAAACTTTATCGAACACAATGGTAGCACATGATAGCATGAGCATGTGGTAGCTTGACAGTGTCAGCGAGTACGCAGCAAATAGCGCTGCAAATAGCACAGCACTCACCCACTTATCTCTTACGGTGACGAATTAGAATATGGCAGGCCGCCACAGTTTAATAATGGGAAACACTGCATCATGGTAAAATACACAGTGTGTAATAGATCAGAGCAGCCTATTCAGGTACTTTGCTCTTGTATAATGTTCTTGCCCGTATTTGGGTGAAAACATACACTCTTAACAACAGAAGGCAGATGGCAAATACAAATTCCAAAGTCTTTGACAGTTTAACAGTATAAAATATGCTAACCCTTGTTTTTTTTAGGTATTAGGTATTAGGTATTATCTTATTGCCAATCCACTTTAGCCAGTGTCACTTCAGTCAGTCTCCTACAAAGTGGACAAATGATGTCACTCAGCCACTGCTGACGAATACCTTCTGAAGCTACAGATCACTTCTTTTGCTTATTTTTGTCGAAACTAGGTTTTTTATCATTATTATTTGATGTACAAAATGAAACGCAACAAAACTGACATATACCGTTTTGCCATTCACCTAATTAATTTGGACAAATTAAAACTGTGACATGATGGTGGTGCTATATGTAAAGTTAAAGTCTCACAAATGTTTAGTGCAGTATGGCATCCAGAATATAGGCTACGTTGTATCTGTACTAAATGGCAACCCATCTGACAGTTAATGAGACTTTCCACTCCAACAGCATGGTCGGGCTGAAAGAAAAGTCAGTTGCTCTATGGCATCAGGAGTCATTCATTGGGGACAATGAATCCCTGGTCAAAATTTCATAGCAATTCATCCAGCAGTTAATGTAAAATATTGGACCAACTGAGTAATGGACTCATATTGCCATAATGTTGTAATTTACCTGAAAATAATTACCGTTACAATTAGTAGATATGCTATATATTAAAAGGAGTCTGCATTTGTATTTATCATGATGCTCCCTGTCCAACAGAAACCTGGGTGCTGTCTATCAGAGGTGATGAAGTGAGGATTTTCTTTTCCATTTTTTTCTTTCTTGTGATAGCATGTCAATCCCTGAAGAGGAAATTGTTGAGAGACCAGGGTCAGGAACAGAGCAGCATCCCCGGAGCTGGAAGACCTTGATCAGAGCTGCTGTGATTCATGGAGGCTTAAACATGGACCTCTGGATTAAAAGTCACACTGTCTGCAAATTCATTTTGGCTAATTGGACTTGGACTTTTGACATCTGTGGAGTTTTGCTTAAATGTTCTGATACATCATGTTAAAAACATAGTTGAACTCATTATAAGCTAATGAATTTCCCATACGCTGTAGAGAGAATGTTTTGCTTTTAATTATAATTTAAAGATATTGCATGAAGTCATTAACTGTAAGGATTGAATTAGCTTTAAGAGCAAACAAAAAAAAGGGGAACATCAGTGTTTTTTCTCTGATTGGTTTACATTATTTGTTTGCACAGTCAATGTGACAAGGAACAAGCTCTGCACAATGGCTAGTAAAGCCTAAAAGCTGTGATGCCATTGAGAAGTAAAATCTGGAACTGTTCAGCAGATGAAGGAGTGACTTTGCGAGTCCCCAGAGTATTTATTTCTTTTTATACCCCGATGAGCTGTAGTCTGTATTATTGGTAGTTATGAAGCAGAAAATGGTATTCCCAGAAAAATCACCCTGGGTGCTGTCACACCGCAGGAAATCTTACAAGTCATTTAATCTAGTTAGGACTCTTAAAATATTATTTTTTAAGAAAAAAGAAAGTTGAAAAAAACCTGTCTGTAGGGAGAAGAGATATAACCATTAAACTGTTGCAAATACAGATAGAAAATACTTCAAATTTCTTGAAAGTCTTCCCAACATAAATGTATTTCTTTGATAATACTGGAGCAATGCACTTCAATTAAACTTAAATAGTGCATCTTATTTCAACCGAGTTTCACAGACAGGTATACTAGACTGGGAAGAAGGGGAATAACCCAACTCTCAATTTCCCGTTTTTGAAAAAAAAGGGATTTTCTTGTTAACATACACATTTTTCACTGTGGACACCTTCACCATCTTGCATTGTTCATTCTTTAATGGATAAGGTCCAATTTTACATCTCCATGACATCTGTCCTAGACTGTCTAGACCACAGCAATAATATATATAAATTCCTAAAGTGAGTGGCATTCCCATTTGATGTAAAGTGATCTGCTGTGTGCTTGCCGGGACTGCGAACAAGATCACTGACACTATTCCTGTTATACAATTTATTTGAAGGAGTCTCTCGGTTTAAATGTTCTAAAACCTTGTGCTTTTGTATGTGACACCGCTGCTGTAAAAATGGAGTGAAAAGTAACCATGCAATTTAAACATAAAAGCAAGAAAACAAATTAGAGCTTTTTAAAATAATTTTGTTATATGAAAATGGGCTGTTTCAGCCAAGTTACATACAGCTGCACTCACCTCTATTATTAAACTATTATGGACCAGATGTACTGACACATAATACTGAGTATGTATTACAGATTTTAAATGGTGAGTTCATAGATGTGCTATGAATGTGTCACATATCTAGTAAGTGTAAGCCTTTACCATATCTTTTAAATGAAAGAGAACTGGTCAAATCTGGTTTCTTAACTATGTGTCCAGATTGAAATGGTTTATTGGATTCTGTTCCGACATATTTATAGAGCCCAAACCCATCCAGTGCTTTGACAATGTAACGATACCAGCACAGCTAGCAGGACAGCTGGCTAACCACTGGGACTGTTAATGTTAGAAGCAAAGTCAAGTGACCACAGATTTGGACATAGTGAGTCGGAAGCTTTGTGTATGCGTGTGTGTGTGTGTGTGTGTGTGTGTGTGTGTGCACTGTGGTGCTTTGTCATCAAAGGACTAATCGCAGAGTGAAAAGGCACCACCAAAATACCATGTTGGTGCCGCAGTCAGCTTAGCATGAATATTGGAAACAGAAAGAAACAGCTAGCATGGATCTGTACAAGTAAAAAAAACCCACCTGCCAACCCCTCAAACGGAACCAAAACCACACGTGTGAAAGGTGCCTCGGACCATGGTCCTGACCAACAAACTAAAATTTGGTCTGACCAAAAGAGGTGGTCTCAGTCTGGTTCAAACAGAACCATGGATTCAACAGACATCAGACACATGCCTGTCTACAAACCAACAATGTCCAGTAGATGCAGCCGTGATGCAATCTTCTTTGTTGGGCTGCCTAAAATGCAATCAAACCAAAAACTAACCACATCAAATACGGTGTAACAAAGACACGAGCCTTGGTTCAGACCATGATCCACAACTCTAATAGTAATTACAGCATTCAAACAGTATACATTTTCTTAATATATAAATATTTCTCCACTAACTCACAAACAAACAGGTTATAATGTTGATTATAAAACAACTGAAGTTTTTGTGCAAGATGAAGGAGTACCTGGTTGTACAAGAACCTCAGCTCTTCAACAGAGTCAACCAACAAAATATAATGTGTTAGTCAACTGTAGGGATGTCTTTATGACATAAGTTACTTGTTGTTGGCTCCAACTTGATATTTACTGTAAAAGAATGAGTTATATATAAATCTCCTCACCTAACTGTTGGCAAGAGAAGCAAATTACTGCATTTCCTAAAATGTCAAACTGTTCCTTTAATGTCTAAATTGCTTTTTTGTGAGTAGTTTACACTTTAACATACTGTGACACTGTTACTGACTTATTTATTACACACATTTGTTGCACCCACTGTTGAAAAGCAAGCTGTTTTGCAGGCGGCCAGCATCAGTCCAGCCCTAGACAGTGCACAGTCATCAGTTGGCTCTCTGTGTGTGATGGGATGAGACATTTTATTAATCACAATTTTGCCAGAGGTAGAAAAAACAAACAAAAATTACAAAAAGTGATATTTCTATGGTGTATTTCAACATTACCTCCATTGATCAGGCAAATTAATTAAACCTTCATGTCCTCTTGAAAGTGAACATTTGGAGTGTTTTGTGGGAGACAAAGGGTTAAGTGCTCGGTTGGTTGGAAGAGATAGGGGCTGAGAGCAGCCCATGAATCCTGCAGTCTCTGCAGGCACAGCATGGTAAAATAATTAAGCCTGCCTTTGAAGGGGACTAAACAAACACAACAGCACTCAACACCAGCCCCGTCCACTCTCTTGACTTTTTCCCTCTCTCCTTTAAAGTGGACTTTCCTTCTCTGCTTTCTCACTCTGTTATCTGCCACGCTCAGCCCCTTGTGTTACCCAGCCACCCCCACCGCACCTATATTTCTCATCCCTTCATCTTCCCTTTTTCGTTTCACATTTTGCGGCCTCGCTCTCTGTGCGGAGCCTCCTGGGAAGGAAGGGTGGGGGAGTAGGAATGAGAGAGGGAGAGAGAGAGAAGGACCAGGTGATTCACAGGTCAGTTTTTTACATCTTCTAAAGTTGGCTTTAAAGTGAGGGAGGAAACAGTGCTGCTGGAATACTTAACTATTAATCCATAAGTGTTATGATACTATTAAAGTCCCCTCTGTTAAGTGGCCTTTAAAACACTTGACAGTATGGGAATGGAAAATGTATGATTAGATTTTTCTTGGTATTTGAAGTTCTGTTGATGTTGTTTTAATAAGAAAATGACTTGTCATCAAATACATTTTTGTACTTTTTGACATTTTTTGCATGAATGACATGACAATGTCTTTTTACACTTCATGTATTTGATATGAGGATGATGATGAAGACATGGTGTGCTGTCTAACTCAGGAACAAGGCAATACTATTAGCAGTAGCAAAATGCGTGTAGATAAAACTGTGGTGTATCCAAGCTCACAGAAAATATGACGATTCTGTCATTTTGAGAAAACGTTAAAACTTCTCAGACAGGAGCAAAGTAGATGAAAAGTGAAGCTACTGCCAGCCACTTGTATAGACTGGCTCTGTTCAAAGGTTTTTCAAAATCAACTCGCCGACACCTCTAAAGGGAAAATAATTTAAACAAACCAATTAATCAACCTAAATATGAAATAAAGAAGTCATCACAGATTGGTTTTCATACAGATTAAAACAAATATGAGAACATGTTAGCTTGCTCTTTGGAAGAGGCTTTCACCTCTCTTGCATCTTAAAGGTTCTTCCTTTACTTGACTAAATTTCCTCACAAACTGACAATAAAGATGGACTACATGCCTCCTCCCCAAAAGTGAAGCCAAAAAATCAACTGCTTGCTGTTTGCAGTATTAGTCATACACCCTGCCTCCTCTATGTTAATAGATGGGTATTGTGTTTATTAAGTCGCAAATTCACACACGTAAAAAACAGAGATAGGAAGAAGATCAGAGTGACTAATTGAAGGCCACTGTCCCCACCTCCAAAGTCTCAAAATTCCACCCCGGACATTTTGAGACCAAATAAATGCCATGTATGGACTGAAACATCATGATTGACAGTCAACACTGACTTGCAATTGGCAACGAATGTGAATTTAGACTTTGGTATCACATCTCCACGATTACTATTGTGCAATTGTTGGTTCTAAATAATGTGACCAGCACAGGATGGCACCGCTTGTATCCGGGATTTTTTAACTTCATTCTTTTGGTGCGTTGTCCATGTTTATATATATTCAATGGTTTCCCCCCTGTTTCTAGTATTCATGCTAACCTATGAGTTAAACGCTCAACAAGTGGTTCACACATGATGTTAATAGGAATAAATGTCCCTCAAAACCCACACACACCTGTTAGCTGGGATGGCCAGCACAATAAGGATTGTTAATTACATAAGAATCAGTGTATGACCAATCATATTTCCACACATACACACCAATTAAAGATACATATCTTACAGCTTTAGATTTCCATAACTGCACACTTGGCAATCTAAAGCAATCATGACCCCACATGACTACAATGATATATCCCAACAACAAGAACACAGTCCAACACTTTACAAATCATCTAATCCAAGCTGTGCATGGTGTGGCTGGTATACTGTATGTACTGTGGGGCAACAATAGGATTGCCTAACACTAAGCAGTTATAAAACAAAAGATATTCGAACAGCACCCATGGGGTACAGATTCTCACCAATTGCTCTTTTTATATTATATCCCACCTCTTGGAGAAGTGTGAGGAATTTTAAAACCAGGAGTGATCTCACTGATGATGATGCATGAGGGACATTACGTTCAGCTCCAAAACTCCAACTCCTCTTTCTTACATTTTAGAAACAGCTTTTATTGTGCATGATAGAGGCCAGCCAGGGTTAGTATTGTGTCAATGTTGCCACACTAATACGATTTACATAAACAATTATGCAGCATGTCCAGGGTGTCTCCCGTCTCTTGCCCAATGTGAGCTGGGATTGGCTCCAGCCCACCCAGGACTCTCAAAGTGATACATGGTAAAAGAGGTATTTTTTTTAATTAACAACCTTTAAGCCTGTATTAAAATTTGTGATTTACTGAATCAAATGTGGCATGGTGGTTTAGTGGTGAGCACTCACAGCAAGAAGGTTCCCAGTTCGGATCCCAGTTCGGCTGGAGTCTTTCTGTTTGGAGTTTGCATGTTCTTCCTGTGTCTGCGTGGGTTTTCTCCGGCTTCCTCCCACAATCTAAACACATGCATATTGGGTTAATTGGAGAAGTCTAAAATTAACCAGAGGTGTTATGGTGAGTGTGAATGGATGTTTGTCTCCTTGTGTCAGTCCTGCAATACACTGGTGACCTTTTCAGGGTGTTTTCTGCCTCTTGCCTAATATCACCTGGGATTGGCGCCAGTGGTTTAGATAATAGATGGATGAATCAAATATGTGTTGCTTGTAGCGCTAACAACACTGAGAGTTAACACTGACCTCTGCAGCTCTACTCAGCTTGAGCTTCTTTTACTTCAATGTTTTTGTTGTTTTTTTATTTTCACCATTTACAAACTTGGATCCATTTGGTGATAAAGAAAATCGAGAAATTACTGGAGACCAAAACAGAACTAAATAGACTATTGATATAACACTCAATAATTAGCTGGAACATTGAATAAGATGGTAATGCTCCTGTGTAATTGATGTGTAATTTAGACAACCGGATTAGCCGGAGGTTTATGTTGTCGTGATGATGTTTATTGTATGATCTTGCCCCCTAGTGGTCAAGAACTAATTTGAAATGCTTGTTTAAAACCAATGACTCTATATAAAAATGAACACCTCGCCTTCCTCCCGCTGAACAAAGATGAATCAAGGTTCAGCCCATTCAACCACCTGACCAATAACGAGCCAATCATCTCAAGTCTCAGCACATTTTTTATGGCATCAAATAACTGATCAAAACCAAACTTATCCAAATGTGAACACTTGAACCACCATCAGTGTAATGACAACCATCTCCAATGACAGAAATCCTCTTTGGGAAAAATGTATTTAATGTGTACTTTGAATTTTTGGTTTTTAGGAGGCGGGGTTTATGACCTGTACTGCAGCCAACCACCAGGGGATGATCCAGATGTTTTGGCCTCACTTTTGAGGGCTGTCATGTCGTCCATTTTTATTTACAGCCTAAGTTTAAAACCTATGAATGACATGAATTATAACATTATAATGCAGATAGGACATATATTAAAAGTGTTGTGCATACAATTAAACCTGGCAAGTACTCTGGCGTTTTGTGATGTTTGTCATGTTTTTCAAGCTACGTACCCTGCTTACTTGTATTTGCAGTTATAGCCGCCTGAAAATGAACTAAATAAATGGAAACTAACGGATGATGAATACTTCATGCACAGCAGTACGTTTTTGTTTATTTGTTCTTATTTGAAAGTTTGATGAGTTATGATTAAAATGTTTAAATAGTTATCATAGTTATATCTGTAGGTAGATAACTGGCAAAATTCATAGTCAAGTTCATGTAATGCTTTACAGTATTCTACTATACAAACCCTGTACAGCACAAAGGGAGAATGGTGTTGATTAATATCTTAAACTTTTTAGTTTAACCTGCACATGGAAATCTTGCAGATCAATCAGAATGTTTTGATTACAGACACAAAATAAAAAAAAAACATTAAATCAAAAAATACAGCGATGCTCTTAATTACATTGCCAGATTATTATAAGACAATCATTTATCTGTCACTTTTATTTTCATGCAATTTGATGATTCGATGATGAAAGACAGCGTCTGGTAAAGAAGAATGTGAATCTGAACCTGGGTTGTTTCAAGTTTGAGAGAGACAAGTTGTAACTGTGAGAAAAGTTGAAGAAAATAAGTATCTAAGAAGCGTGAGCAACAGACTGAGATGAGGAAGGAGGATCAAAATGATATTTCTTAAAAATTGGAAAACTTTCTTATGCCAGAGATAAAGGAGAGGAAGACATATATAGAGAGAGGGGGAGAAAAACAGCAAAAGAGAGGCATGGGGAGGTACGATTCCCAGAGGACCATTGAATTTCCTTTCTTTCTTCTCTGCGTTTTTCATGGTCCTCTCACTCCCAGGTCCACACAGCTGTTTCAGGGCCGGGGGCTTCTTTCTCCAGAGCCCAGATGAAAGAGCCGCCCTAAGCAGCCCTGCAGGTAGGTCTGTTAAAGCCATTGCTCTGGCTGTCCTCTGCCCAATGCATGAAATAAAAAAGGCAGAAAGAGCGAGGGAGTTTGGAGGAGGCAGGTTGGAGGAGGGAAACGGGAGGATGATATGAAAACAGGGATAAAGAGAAACGTAAAGAGGAGAGAGAGAAGGAACAGAGGACAAAGATGACAGACAAGGAGAAGAGATGAAGATGGAGGGATGGATGTGCAATGGAGGGGGGGAGGATACCTGCCCTCAGCCACCCCAGACTCCCCCTCACCACCCCCTGATACCAGGAATGATGTCTGCTTTTATTGACTTTGTTAAACCATTTTCAATGCTACTTCCTATGTGTTTACAAGACAGTAAATCACACTCCATTCGGGGTGGGGGGCTACGGGTTGAAATACGGGGGGAACATCCAAGACACTGGGAAACGAAGACCGCTCCGGCTGAGCCAACAACAACTTTGCAGCTTTCTACCTCACTGCCAGCGCTTCACGCCACACACACACCTATTCTCGCAGGGAATTGACAGGGATGCCACTGTGGGGCCCTCTGTCTTCATCACACTCACTTTCATCTGCTCTGACAAGGGCGAATGAGTAATTTAAGACTCACTGAATGATAAAATTATAGTCGAGATACTTAAAAACAGGCCGACCAAGAGAAATAGCAAAACAGAAGTGGTACACTCAGCCGTTGTAAAAAGCTTCACCAGAGAGCTTTACACTATTTAATATCACTCGGAACACCACTCAAAGTCATTATGAAAACACATTTGGATTATGGCAAAATTGGGTCCCCTTAATCACTTCTACACACTGGGGTCATTCCCAGACAGTCGTTTCATCCAGTTAAAAAGTAATTCAAGCTCTGCGCGCCGCTGAACACGAGTAAGTACTTCAAACGTCATCCAGTGGCAGCAACTTTGACTTGATTTTCCAAATTTTCTCACCGTAACAATTTTCTCAGGCGCTGGCATTGTGACACAACCACACATACACACACACACACACACACATGCTCAGCAAATAATCACCGTGTGACTGAGCTGCTCCGAGTGACTGAAAGGTAGACAGACACCCCACCCCCACCCTCACTCCGATGACCTAATTTTAATGGCACAGTACAGGACCGTTACTGTCCCTCTCACGCTGTCTTTCCATCAGACCAAATTCATTTCTAAGATGAGAGCTAGAATAGAAATATGTCACAGACAGCTCTGCGTGTGAAATATAACACTAAGTTATACAAGATATACAAAAAATGTAAATTCACTGAGTCAGGAACATGACTACAAAACTCTTACGATTCCCCATTCAGAGAAAAATGTTTCCAATAATAGTCCATGAT